GCAGTGAGAGTGATCCAAACCCTATGGATCAGAGCGCTGATCCAAGCCCTATGGATCAAACCGACAAGTCACTTGATCCAAGCCCCCGACATGAACACATCTGCATGGTGGCACTTCACCCCACCACTTTCTCACCGATTCACTGTGAACTGTGAAGGTGGTGGCTTCCCAGATCAAAGCCATCCTGTTTGTGGCAAGCCTGTTTTGAAGTTCTGGGACTCAGTGGGCTCTCAAGACATTTAACAGGTGGTGGCTTCAGCTCTAGATTGGAGGCTCACTCCGAGTACTGGTTAGTGGCTGCCGCTAATTCTGTTTGGCCTTAATATTGTGTTCTAGCAGCTTCTTTAATATGGGCTATTTGGGTTGGATTCTCCACTCAAAGGGTTGCATAGCCTAATGGTAAAAGCATCAGTTTCCAATTCTTCACTTCGACAATGTGAGGGTTCGAATCCCCACTGTGATCACACTTAGTGGCTTCCGGTAATTAATTTTTGGCTGGAATGGGAAGTCAATTTGACGTTGAGTCTAGTGGCTTCCGCTAAATCTGTGGTGGTGGTAATGCTGGTGATAGTGGTGAGTAGCAGTGGCTTGCAGGCAAGTGCAGTGGCAGTAGCAGAAGGAGTTGTGGCAGCAGAGGTGGTTGTAGTAGTGGTTTGTAGTAGTGGTGGTTCGAGTCCCGGCTGTGACCACACTTAGTGGCTTCCGGTAATTAATTTTGGCTGGAATGGGAAGCCAATTTGAAGCTGAGTCTAGTGGCTTCCGCTAAATCTGTGGTGGTGGTAATACTGGTGATAGTAGTTAGTAGCAGTAGCAGCAGCAGTAAAGCTGCTGCAGTAGTAGCAGCAGGTGGCAAGTGCAGTGGCAGTAGCAGAAGGAGTGCTGGCAGGAAAGGTGGTTGTAGTAGTGGTGGTGGTGGTTGTGTGATCCAAGGGCTTGGATCACACACCCACCTTTTGATCCATACCCCATGGATCGTGTGTGGGTTTGGGTGTGTGATCCAAGCCTTATGTTTCTGGCCGTAGCCATATGTTGCGAATTTAACATTTGAGTTTGTATATTATGATGTCATCATTGCTCATATTATCCACCACACGTCAATACTGTGCACCCCACTTCCTGGCTTGGTTGAGCACATACCCCTGTTCATTGTTCTTAGCAGGTATACCATGGCTAATGTTGTCCAGCAGCTGAACGATTCACGCCAAGCACGCAGTGCACCAATACCTTTGAAGACTCGTCTTCCAAAGCAGCCTGGCACGGGAAAAGCAGGACGAACATGCCCGCAACAAACTTCATGAACCTATCATAACTTGTGGCACCTATGGCAAGTAGACTTGAGACCGCAAGAGCATCGACAACACAAACAAAAGCTGGGTGGGTGGGATAGCCTCACACATCCTTTTGCACAAACAGTGACAAGGCAACGAAGCGTAGCAGCGTATCTTGAGAACATCGAGTGTCAAAGCCTGCAGGAAAGCTTTGCATCTCCAATAGGCACCACTCGGTCGACACTTGGGATCAAGGGCGCAGTTGGCCTCCAGTGGCAAGGACGTGACTACCCAATCTAGGATACAACACGCAAACAGTACAGCTGCAATCTTCAAACCACGACCCTCTGTATCCGTATGCATCAAAGAGTTTTCACTGTACAAGCTTCTAGTTGGATATTTATTAAGAGACCTATGAAACAAAGAAACTCGAGAAACTTGCTGCCAGGATTATGGTGTATGCAAGTCTCTGCAAACGCTGCCCGAAAGGGATTTTCTCAAAACATATACCATTATGAATTATCAAGAAACAGTTCCAGGACGCTTACGCTTAAGTCTGGTGTGTGGTCTGCGTGTTTGTGCATTTTCTGACCAACCACGCTGCTTGCGTTGATGCACTGTCGCTGTTTTGGATGATGTTCTGACGGCGTGCGTGAGGTCAAGGAGGGGAGGGGTGGGGGCGGGGCCAGGATGATAACTTCCTGTTGCTACGCAGTTGATGTTCTGGTTGATGTTCCGGAGTTGATCATGTTGATGTCTTGATCGTGCCATGGTTGAACTTGAAAGCATGTCTAGCACGACGACGTGTTGCGAAAGTCAAAGGCGCTTTGGTAGTTGTGCCAGTGCACAGAATTGGTCGAAACCGGCAATTGCTGGGAGCACTCGTGAAACTTACTGCAGAGTAAAGAGTAGTTTTGAACTTTCAGATTTTTTTTCTTTGCAACCCAAATCCCAGTGGCACGGTTGGTTTACCTGAAAAATCTGCAAATCATGTTCTCCTGCAATAAACAATGCAATTCCAACATACATAGTGAACACAGTGCTGTTTGATGCATGGCGCAACGCAAGCCATGGACCTAGTTACCAGTACTTAGTTCCATCCCCGTGAACTCCAAATAAAGGACCCCATCTTTGCAACATTGGCTTAAACGGGCTGAACGACTTATATAACTGTCCGTTGGCAATGGGCGGACCTCGAATTGCTCCTCGGTGTCTAAAGGCCCGAAGAGATTGTCCTTAGCGACGGACTAACGGCTGAATGTTGTTTCTTGGAAGTTCATAGTTAGTGGAAGTTCAAATTGAGGCAAAGTCATAGCCATCGTCCTGGATCGGGACCTCAGCTGTCAACTTCTAACATTCTGAACTTGTTCAAATCTGCAATGCCATTCAGCATGATTGAGCTTTGTGCCCATTCAGTCACCAAGCCATGGTCTTCGCCGGGGGGAAGGACATACATGTCGGACACGTTCAGCACGTGTGTAAAGCCTTTGGGGTTGGCCTCACATGGGGCGCACCAAAACTAGCGCTGCAACTCTGGCCTCATGGTGGGTTTCGATCAAAATTTCAATAGCACTTGGCACGTCTTTTTAAAGGGGGATAGGTTGGAGGAGAGCTCACAAGTAGCTAGCTAGCACAGTACAGTACAGTATATAAGTACATATAAGTATCTAGTTAGTACAGTTTATATAAGTAGCTAGCAAAAACCAGGAAACTACTAGATACTACTAGACTGTGATTTTTTGGGTTCCTCCTGCCTGCGGGCGGGGGTATATACCTTGAAGAACCCCTCGCCTGATTGATGTGGTCCACTGGTTAGTTGATCTTTGGGCCCCTAGTACCGTCCTTGCTCCTAGTAGTAAGGGCAGGAGCCCCTAGACTAGTAGCTTCTTGCTCCTAGTAGCGATGCCCTTTGCTCTTAGCAGCGTCCTTTACACAAGTTCAAACGGTCATAGCAATTGGCCTTCTTGAGGTCAAGGGCGTCTTGCGCGCTGCCCAAAAAAAGGGAGTTGGATACAATCTCCTCAGCGCTGCGTGCGATGTGGCAAGCATTAAGGAACGCAAGCGTATGCCACCTGCTTGCCCACGTCAGTGCGCCCGTTCATTTGTGCTGGATCGGGGCAGCCCGTCACACTTCCATACTCCAATAATGCACCAATTGCATTGTTGTGCGTCACATCATTAATTAAACAAACAATTGAGAAGTTGGGGCAACAACATCGCTGAAGAAAACCTTGTGACCACCTTGTGTTCACCAAGTTGTTGCAACGTTAATGTATTGACTGCATTATTAGTTTGTGCAGTCTATGATCTTCGCAACCTGAGAAGGGGGAAACGAAGGCGAGTAAAAACAACCAGGGATGTGTAGTATTCTGCGAGGGGATCACTTGGCCAAACGCCTGAAAGGAGCAAGGCTGCCGCGGTCGAATGGGCACTCTATGAAGTTGCAGGAAAATCAGGACAATTGAACCAATGCCTTCATGCATAAGTTGCACAACCAAAGGCCGAAATCTGTTCAATTCTCACTTGATAAAGGTCAGTTCCCACTTGGTAAAGGTCAGTTCCCACTTGGTAAATGTTAGTTCCCGCTTGATAAATGTCAGTTCCAACGCAGTAAATGTTAAAGGAAAAACACCAGCAGGCCGACGTGTTTGTTGCATCTGCCCCTGGACCTCTAAGCTCACTTCGTTCGCAGAAACTAACTTGAGCCTGGCCCAGCCCATCGGCCGGCTTTCATAATTTCAACTTTCCATCCGTCCATCTTTTCACCAAATGTCATCATGGTTCATCCTTCAATTAGTCCGAAACACTTCTAGCCAAGCTGCACAAACACCCAACTCTTGAAGAGATCTGATGCTATCGCCCTGCTCGCCCTTGCGCAAATCCCAACACTTGGTGACTGGTCTATTTACCAGTAGCAGTTACTTATGCAGTCCTTCTCTTTGAGACATCTTTTTGAATATTGATGTCGTAGTAATGAGACTGCCCGCATTACGACTGCACCACTGAAACTCGGCTGCCGCAGGCTCAATGACATGCACAATTCCCGCATGTCTAGCAAGCTAGTCAGTCCTCCAAAGGCATGTCCAAAAGGCATGTCCGGGCCGTATGTTCTCACTGTCACTGGCTGGCATACATCATTGCTCCAGCCTCGGCCTTTGCTTGTCGGCCACTCTCGTCTTTGTCCAGGATGTCCAAGCCATTGTTGCGAAAAAAAACTGAGCATCGCAGCAAAAAGTTTGTTGAAAGACCGACTTTTTGTGTCGCTTTATAGCATCAGGCATGCGCTAATTACATGCGATGTAATGCAACCAGCTTTATCCCCAATCAAGAACAAACAGATTGCATTGAACATGGTGCCACTATGCCTCAAGTGTTCTAATCAAGCATGCATGTTTGCTTTCTTATGCCTGTAAAGCTCAAATAGTTGAGAACTTGTCTTGCATAGAACTTGTGAGAGGCAATTGAGCTTGAGCCGCTCGAGAAGCTGCAAACATGCTAAAAAGTAAGTTTCCCAAAAATCAAGGAAACAAATGAACAGTGCAAGCGCTTCTTCGGAGCTTCCTTGAAGAAGCGTGAGCCTGCGTCCTAGTAGTACAGCCCTCACTTAAATATATATAATATATATATATAATTAAGTAGTTAAGTCAAATGGTCGGCAAAAAAAACTAATCATTAAGGCTCGGCTCAGGCTTCTTCCACCAAAAAAGATACAGACCAAGACCGTGCCTGCGCCTACTGCCTAGGCCCTCGTGTCCTCTTCCGCTTCTTTTTAGTGCCTGTAAACATCCACAGGAGCAAACACCTTGTCGAAAGCAGGATTTCTCTGTTTCCAAAGCAGCCTCTTTTGAGACGTCTCATCACCCTTGCTGGAAAACCTAAGCATCTGCCAAGTAAAAGCCTGGCCTCCTGACGATGTTGTTACCATGGCTGCTTCTTCTTCGGGCCTGGTTGATGAGTTTATGTACTTTTCTTGCACTTGCCGGCATGGTGCTTGAACTTCAGCAATACTATATATTATATATATACTATATACTATATATATACTGTATATATGCAGCATACAGTATACTTCAGTGTGCAGCGACATGGACACACACATTCACAACAACGATTTTGCGCCTAGGTCAACAAATCATCTCACACAGGTTCCCATTTTACCAATCCAATAACTAACGTGCACAAGCTCTGTGCACTGTCCTTGCTTACGGCCGCAAAAGTGGCAACCAGCCGGAGCGGCGTGATCCATTTCGCAGGTTGAAAGCTCATGTATCCTTTCTTGAATGTCTCCGCTGGAACCTTGCCAGTACAAATAGCACATGGAGCTCATCGGCGGACAACATGTTGGGGTCGGCTTGGTTGGCCTCCTACTGAGAATCTGTAGCCTTCTATCATAAATAGAAGGCTCAAAATGATTGGACCTAAATCTGAAGGCAAAGTGCAAGCATGTAATTACAACCGAGGGTTATTAAGCTGAGCAAATAGAGGACTACAAACCTAGGTTTCAGAGTTGACTGACCTGTTCCAGCGATGTCCATCCTCTCTCAAATATCTCAAATGCAAAAAGGCACGATAGTAGCAAATTTGGAATTCCCAAAGCTTGGAATCGCCATATCCAAAGCTTGGCACCTCATGTTTTTTTCCAGGAATGTGAAAGGATCGAAGCAACAAGGCCTCAACCAGTCGTCCGAATCAAACGATGCTGCTTTTCTTTTTAGGCCGCTCTGCCCCCTTAATTCAGTAGGCACCTACTTAAGTTAGCTACTAGCTACTGGACGCAGGATAGATCGCGCTATTCATTACGTTCGGAGATCTTGAGAAAAACAACAAAAAACATCAAACAACGACTGAGCAACAGGCGTTTACTTTGTCACATGCGGGCCGCAGCCCCACTGCTGCTCGTCCGTTCACCTCCTGGCTTTGTACAACACAAAAGCAGCAGTATTGAAACCCATCACAACTTAGCTAACTTGTGTAACTTCAGCAGATTCGGGCTGTGCAAATTGGAGGACGCTACTCTTTTGAGAGGTTTGTTCGGGCATCAATCTCCTACTAGCTCAGCTTGTACTTGTACATATGCCTACTTCGAGACTCTTGGCTCAATCCCAAGTGGTTTTGTTCAGGGTTGCCAACCATAGTGTGTGGGATTTGAGTCAAGAATACGGTGGTGTATAGGTAGGTAATGTCAAGTGTTTATAAACCTGGCACGACCATTACACTGAGTGGCTGGCCGGGATGAAAAACAGCTCCTCATCTGGGGCATGGGAGCCTGATTGCAATATGCACTTGGAATGCTGGTTGGAACCCTTTTCAATTCATTGGGCACGGTCACAAACATGTTCACCTTGATTTAGAATGTTGAAAAATGGAAGCACAACATTGTTGTCACTGAGAGAAAAGCTGATGAAGCTTGAGACGCTATCAATAGGGACCTCGAGGCTTTCACTCTTTGTCATCTGGGCAATTTTCACAATAACTTTGCACATCCTTGTCTTTTGCAACTCTATTCATGGCGTTCTCGTCCATGGGATCAATTCTACTATTCCACGATCACTCTGAATATGTTCAAGCACTTTCAAACCAACTTGCACAGAACTTGAGACGTTCACCCCAGTGTATTGCAAAAAATAACATAGTGGAGTGTACACATAGTGACTTCTCGGGCGAAAGCAATCTCAGCATCAGCCACCTTGATGCGTACACCTGCACTGTAGCTAGCAAATGTTGTGCACAAAGTCCATGATATGTACTGGCTATTGAATGCAGCTATTACAATGGGAATTTCAGTTCATCTCACCGAACACAATGCTAAGACCTTGTTGCTACTTAGAAGATGTTCATAAATAGTCACGTCCACGAAATGTCATAATGATGATCAACGGGCCTTCAAGAGGTGCAGTTGAGCCAGAGCAAGCTACTGGCAGGGTTGTGCCAGGCCTGAGCAACATCCAATAGAACAAGAGTGCAACAAAATAGACAAGATAGAAACACATTGTCTAACAAGGCAAATGAGGACATAGCGCACTGAAGTCACAATACTGCTTTTGAGCAATCCTGTTCCTGTATCTGCATTTCGTGCATGCAGGACTGTTTGAACATATTATTGAAATGCAATAGTAGCATCCCTAAATTGTAGCTGTTCAGTTGCCGTACTTACTTTGATGAGGAATCTCGCTGATTCCCTTTCCATCTTGCACTCATGGGTGTCTGACCAGCCGGCATAGCCTCGAACCTGCACATGGGCACTGTTCCGATCTCTAGCAGTGAAAGAATGATGCACACACCGGAACAACCAATGCCAGCGTGGATACTTGTAAAGACTATGATTCAAGGTAGCTTGTGGGCACGTTTGGCAAGCAGGTGTAGGAGAGGGGAACAAAAAAAAAACACAAAAGCGGCAAGCGGCGGCAAGTTATTTTTTCTATGTTCGAGCAAGCTCGCCCGAGGATCCAAGGATCGCAACCGAGGCAGATTCGATGATCCGAGTGTTGTTATTGTTGCGCTGAGCCGAAGCAAGGCACCAAATCCCCAAGCTTGACAAAGAAGGAAGAACGTATATTAATAAAGTTGCCCTAGGAACCAAATGAATAGTGCGAGCGTGAGCTATCCTGCGTCCACATTATGGAGTACCGTCCTAGTAGCTAGGAGCTTACCTCATTACTTTATTGTGTAAGTAGGCGCCTACTTAATTAAGTAAGGAGGCAGGGCCACGGTTAAAAAAAACACACACATCAATAATTACACCTGGACGACCCAACCCTTGCTTCACAAAAAAACTCAAGGTATCCTTTTGTGACTTATGTTCGGAATGAGAGTAATGTACAGTACTGTGGGATTCTGTAGGCTGATATGCCACGAGCAACTTGTCAACCCAAAATGTGAAACAGGCTGAAACAATGGCTGTCAAGAAGCCGCATTGCCCACATACTTTTTGCAAAAAAACACCAATGAGATCATTGTGTTGGAGAGTCTAGGTATGCCCAGCTGCACCTTGTCCCGCATCTGCATGGCAGTTTCGTTGTGTGGCCACAGTCTTCCCTCTTCCTTCGTAATGATTGGAGCCTGACCATCGGAAAACAAGAAAAAATACACCGCTATGTGTGTTCCTTTTCGCAAAAAATGTAAACAAACTTTACGAAGGCGTGCAATTAAGACAGCGCAGTATGGTCTACGAATTCTCAAGGAGTTGGGGGTAGATGGATGTGAGATTATGGAGTCTGAGTGATCAGTGCCAGATGCCTTCTCCACCAGCGCCTCATCCTGAACTTGGGCTGTGTCCATGGTGACCTGTGCATAAGAGACTGCCAGAATGATTGGAACATGTTGAGAAAACTGTGAAAGGAACCTCCAGAAAGTGCATGAACAACATCGAACAGGTGGGGATGCGACATTGACACGTCAATTGGGATTGGCAGTACATAAGTGATCTTGACTATGGCCGACGGTGCGGTTTTCAATAGAAATTAATTGTTTGATGGGATGAAAACTGAAAGCTGCGTGTAGTATTGTACACTCGGCAATTCCCATCAAATTGTATTAAACCCTTGTCACTAGGATTAAGTAACCACCCCCTATTAATCAATCCCAGCTCGACCCCCCAATACTAGACTAACTTAAAACCTAGATTTCCACCTTGGCATCCCCCTAATAATTGTTTTACTGGGCAGAAACCTCCCCCCTATTAATCAGTCCCAGCTGCCCCCAGAAAATAAAGAATTGTTACTATTTATTTATAGTTATATAATATAGTCTAGTATTTTCTTTCGTACTAGTATTCAGTATTCAATATCTTTTGGTCCATGGTGAAATTGATCTTCATTCTCATCAATCATTGTCTTTCATTATCATCCTCCTTCTGCTCATCCTGCTTTTCTTTTTATCCTTCCCTGTTAAAAGCCAAAAAATGCTAGCAAACTTCTTTCATTTTCCCTTATTAAAACGCTATCAAAATCTTAAGGTTTTCCAGCTCGCAAAGGGTACCCCTCACACAGGCCCTACCATCCCCTAATAGTAGGGACCCCTCCCCTATTAATCAAGCCCACCCTCTGGCCTCCATCTTGTTTTCCATCTCTTTCATCCTGCAATCCTCTTTCTTTTCCTACTCATCCCAATCAAAGAAAAAATCTTGTCTTGAAATCTCTTCCATCTCTTTCCTAATCATCCCAATCTTTCCCAATCTTGTCATCATCTCATCATCAATCATCAGGTCATCATCTGTATTGAGGGGATGTGGTCTCCAATACCTCCAATCTCAATCCTTGTTGACCTTGCTGACCTTGAAGGGGGAGGGGGGGCATTTATTAATCCTACGTCGAGATTACAACTCACAACTATTCGTCAACGGAGGATAGGGTCCAGCTGGGTGCAATGTGTTGTCGAGCTCTGAGGACCACAGTTTTAGAGGTGGGCCAAAGGAGTTCAACGAGCGGTTTCCACCGTCGCTTCCACCATCGTGCAGCTGAGACGATGTCAGCACGCTGATCGAAATGTTTAAACTTATCAAAGGCATCAAAATATATACCGTATATCCAAGTTTGCTAGGGTCTGAGGCACTGAAACACAATTTCAATGAGTGTTAAGCCACATGACACCCGAATCAAGAAATCGCTGACAAGTCTTGCATATCATTGCACAGTTGCCAACAAAAACACTTGGGCAAGGATGAAAACCTGAAGCCAGCCTCGCCACTAAGAAGTTTGGGTATGACCTGCGTCAACCAAATCAAGTCGCCAGTCACAGGAAATTCCCACCCACATGCCCTAGCAAGTAGTGAGTGTTGATAAACCTGCATAGTTCATCTTCTTGAACTCAAATAGTACATATTTTCCCCAGATAGGGGGAGCTATTTGGGTTCCTACTTCAAGCAAAGGGAGAGTTGCATGTGTGCACTTTCTAGCCTGGGTGCTGGTATCGCTGCAGGGTGCCGCTGCTATGCGCGCTTGGGTGCTGGTGCCGCTGGTGCCGCTGCTGTGTGCGCTTGGGAGCTTGGGTGCTGGTGCGCTGCTGTGCGCTGCTGTGCGCTTGGGCGCTGGCGCCGCTGCAGGGCGCCGCTGCTGTGTGCGCTTGGGCACTCTTGCAGAACACTCTCGTAGCATACTCTTGCGAAACTCTCTCGTAGGAAACGCTAGGACACTCTTGTCGGACACTCTTGTGGAACACTCTTGTGGGGCACTCTAGTAGGGCACTCTTGTTGGACACTCTTGTAGGACACTCTTGCGGATGACCATTGTAAGTCACTCTTGTGCGACACTCTTGTGGGACACTCTTGTGGGACACTCTCGTGGGACATTCTTGTAGGACTCTCTTATGGGACGCTTTTGTATGACATTTTTGTGGGACAGTCTTGCGAAACACTCTTAGTCTTGTAGGACAGTCTTGTGGGACACCCTTGTAGAACACTCTTGTAGGACACTCTCGTCGGACACTCTTGTCGGACACTCTTGTGGAACACTCGTGGGGCACTCTTGTAGGACACTCTGGCGGGACACTCTTGTAGAACACTCTTGCGGGACACTCTTGTAGGTCACTCTTGTGTGACACTCTTGTGGGACATTCTTGTAGGACACTCGTGTGGGACACTCTTGTGGGAAAGTCTTGGGCCACTGTGGGACACTCTTGTAGGGCACTCTTGTCGAAACTCTCGCGGGACACTCTTGTGGCACACTCTTGCGGAACACTCTGGTGGAACACTCTGGTGGGACATTGTTGTAGGACACTCTTGCGGGACACTCTTGTGTGACACTCTTGTCAGACACTCTTGTGGGACACTCTTGTGGGGCACTCTTGTAGAACACTCTTGTCGGACACTCTTGGCAACACTCTAACTCTTGTGGGACACTCTTGTAGGGCACTACTACCAAAGTCTCCAAAAGTCAGCCGTCATGTCTCCAGAGTGAGCGCTTCGTACGAGACTTCCTCCAAAACTCACAGCTCAAGTCTCCAAATTGAATGTTTCGTACGAGACTTCCTCCAACAGTCACATGGCAAAGTCTCCAAAACGAGCATTTCGTACGAGACTTCCTCCACAAGTTAAATCAAGCGGGAAGACGCATCGGAGCTAACGCATCAAGGACCCCTGACAAGCAGTTTCGTGATTCCAGTCCCTTCAAGCCACACCCACTGAACCCCAATGCCAATGTCACGGCGACACTCACCTCCGATTCCCTGCGCCTACCACGGAAATTACACTTCCACACCTCCAACACGCACAAAATACTGCCACGAAATGTGACCTCCGCCACACCTCCCAACCTCACGATTCCTTAAGCCTGCCACGAAAATTGCACTTCCAAAGCCTGCGCAAAGCACTGCGCCTGCCACGAAATATCGCGCCTTCATAGACTCAGCAAAGTTTACACCCAGCCACCAAAATCACCACTTTAGCTGAGACTCGGAACGAAGCCACAGCTTCGAAGCATGAGCCTGGAACGCAAATGCCATTGTCACAGCCACATCCAACACCCCAAAAACACCACCCTACAAGCACCATTGTCAATCTGACTGCGAAGAAACCTGCGAGTCTCAAAAAACCCTGCAGGCAATTCATCCTCCAGACTTCATCTTCTCACGCTTCCACACGTTTCCTCGCTATTTCACACGAATCTGACACATCATGCTTCCATCCAAAACCCTCTCCAAAAGCTTCGCCCAATGTCAGCGCCATAGCGCTCCACCTGCGAACGGTAGCGAAAGGTTGACAACGGTTGCGAACACTAGGACAATGAGTCGCGAACAAGGCTCTACCCCCAGACCCCCAGAGTTAAACGAGAACCCTTCGCTACGCGTTCGGGAAAAAACATTACATAAAACATCCTAAAACAAAAACAGCACGGACTTAAGCAATGTCGTTATTTTCTTGTTACATCTTGTTACTGCAAATCTTGTGAAAGGCAGGGAGCCAAAGCACGTACACATTCTGTTGCTGAGCATGTGTCATGATGCAAAGCATTGCATGTGTTGCGCGCACCAAACGTTTATTCAGGTTTATTCTTGTCGTAAGTTGGCCACTCTTCCTTCCCCATAGAGTCGCTGCCTGATCCACTAGCAAATCAGCGCCCCACCTCACTCGCAAACACTGATCTACGTTACATACAAACTCTGCAATGAAGTTCCAGTATGTCACTGGATGTCTTGTCATACAACGTTGCTCATCCTGATTCCTGATGACCTCCATCCCAAGGATGATGTGTGAGTTGTCCTTGTTGCCAAGTACGAGTAAATCTTCAACTTCAAACACTTTGTTGTTCATATCTCGCTATGTTTTCTCGTTCAATCCAATCGCCTCGCCTATCTTGTATGCTGCCCATATTCGGATTCGAACATATGCATCTGTTTAATTGCAATGACATGCTTGAAAAAAAATCATACAGGGGTGCAGCATGTGGATATGAGACCATCCAAGTGGACATGACATGACATGACTGACTGGAATTTACAGAGATCAAAGATAATGCCTTACCGCGTGTATACCCCTGGCCCAGCTGTCTCCTGAGTGACTGTACACGTTTCAAGCCTGTGCAACAAGTTTAACATAGTTTCTCCAAAACACTAATCAAGACAAATCTGGCCGGTGATCCTTTAAGATCACTAAGGCACGTGCGCAAACAGCTTGTCCAGCAGGTCAGGGGACGTTTCTGAACCTTTCATGCTTCACTGATCAGGAAGCCTGTGTGTACTTTCCAAAATGTGGCAAGTTCCACACAGGTCCAAAGTTGGAAGCTCTTCCGTGGGTCAAAGAGTCCAATTACATTTAGTGACATGGCTGGGCAGCACCTTTGCCTATCACAGCAAGTTGAGCGCCTAAAATGTAAACATGTATGATTTAGTTATAAGCACTGTGCACTGTTGTGGGCAAGACTCTCACAATCACTGCCAGTTCACCTTGTAAGGACATCTTCTTCTGTACGATAATAGGCCTTAGATTACGAAGTTCTCCATGCAACGGACTGTTCGATGATCATCTCAACACAGGTACGCTACTCTATTCGGAGCATTCAAGTTGGGGTCCCAAGAGTCTGGCCCAGCATCCATTTTTGCCACAGTGTACAGGATCTGCCAAACAATTTGGGCAATTTGTGCAATGTCTCCGTCACGTGTCTTCGCTACTAGGGGCTCCTGGCCTTACTACTAGGAACAAGAAGCTACTAGGAACAAGAGCAAGGACGCTACAAAAAGATCCGAGATAAACATCTGCGGCGCCGTGATGCCCGTCTCAGTATCGCCAGCCACCAAGCAACGCTGCACAGGCGATGCGCCTCTGCATTACTATGACCAGGAGGTGGGATGATGGCTAGCAGCTATATATGTACTTTTGAGTTCTTCATTTGTTTAAGGCTGGAGGAGGGTAGGGCGGGTAGGGTGTAGTAAGCGCTTCAGGAGCTGGCAAGTAAGGGGTATATAAATAGTACGCTCAAGTGACTCAAGTAGCTTCTTAGTCTTGGGCGCAAAAGAGCTCAGGCTTCTGCAAGGAAGCTCCCCTCGCATGAGGGCAAGGGCGGCTTCCTTGAAGAAGCCCGCAATGTTTCAATGACAACCCAAATTAGAAGCCACCAAGAGTACAAAGGACAATACATATTGAAAGAGAACAAAAGTGTTGCAACGAATTGTCCACAACTCATACAACTATGAATCCATCAGTAGCGCAAGTTGTGCTGGCAACAAAGGAAGTTCCGGAAGCACCTCTCCATCTTGGAAGCAAAGAGGGATGCAAATTCACCGTGCCAAGGCGCGGGGTCTGAGCGATTGTGTGCACAAGAAAACATTGAAGAACACGTAGGATGCAATACGATGCAATTCGTCTGTTGTGAAGGGACGTTGACAAAACAATCGCCAGCCCATGTAGCACTGCTCAAATGCATAGATACAATATGCCTGCCTGCAAAAAGCGTCGAGGAAGGTATTCGCCGTACCTCGTACTCCATCTGAACAAGAGCCATTCGAGTGCCGAATGCAGCTACTGAATCAATCAACAAGTGCCGGAAGGTTGCAATTAATCAATTAAGTGTATATAATATATCATTACAAATAAGCAAACGCAAATTCCCCTTGCAATTGCGAGAAGATCGAGAAGGCTACCAATATTGTAAAATAAGGAGCATTCCAGAATGCAATCGAGGCAACGGCCTCTGCACACAGTGAGGTGCAGCAAGCACATGCCAACACACTAGGGCCCCATGAAACTTTTGGTCGCTTCGGAGACGAGAAAACTACTTTGGACCTTTGCCAGTGAGACATTTTCGTTATGCGTGCACTCAAACCTCTACAGGGCACAAACAGCCTTGTGGCATCCTGCAGCCCCCCCAAAATACCCTAATAGCGATGACCTCCAACTGCATAAGTTGCCTAAGTGGCCTATCGTCAAGTCATAAGACACTTGGCTGATGGGCTCTGCATAGGCTTTTGCGACCTATTCTGGGAGATGGAACTTCAGGTCGCATCTTCCCAGCAGCGGCTCGTCGAATTAGAACCATCATTGCAGGACAAAGAACATAAGATTTAACATGAGTGAACCATACACACACCAAACGTCACCAAGCCATCTATATAAACGACAATACCAAAATACACCAAAGAAACATCAAGCTTGGCCAAAACCATATGATGCTTGCATGACATCTCATTGAACAACACTAAGCCCAACCACATGCGCGGCCCTCTTCATCCCGCTTCCCTTCCTCCAAAACAGCCACTCTCGAACAGGGCTTTGCAGGCTCGTGTGTGGCGTCTGAAGAAGCACAGGTCACTGGAGATTGTTACTACTGTACTAGTAAGGCACTTGTTCCTAGAAGCGATGCACTTGTTCCTAATAGCTTCTTGTTACTACTAGTAAGGCACTTGTTACTAGAAGCGTGTGATTGGTGCGTGGGCCACAATCTTCCGCCTGGTTTGCATTGGGTCACCAGCACTCAAAATGACTCTGTCTCCGCTTGACAATCGAAGCCCGTATTTGGCTTTCATGTTGTAATGAACTTCCACAGAGGGCTCGTGGATAGCATGATTGATGATCCCAAAACAATCCGCATAATTAGCTTGTTAGGTGAGGTGACATGTTGCTACCATGCTTGCCTTAGGCTTGAGACTTCGTTGCCGTGGCTGGTAGAGACAAGAACGCTCGTCGACTACCCCACGCTACTATTCTTGCCCTCGAACCTGTGCAGTCAAGTTCCACAGTGTGACAGTGCGTTACAATGACTTGACCATGATGTGTGCGCTCTCCAGTGGCATGAACTGCCGAAACAGCAACCCTCTGCGCTATCCTGAAAGCCCAATCTGCCAAAAGAACCAATGGATGCTTTCTTTTTTTGGAATCAAATCGCATCAAGACCTTCTTTCAAGAGTGTCTCCAACCAGCCTCTTGCCAGCAGCTGTGCTGGAACTTGCTGATATCCGCACAACAACCAACACAAATATGTATATATATATATATTGTATAAATATAGCAAACAACATAGTTGATTGCACACAACAGTGGCAGCTTCACAAGGCACGGGCAGCACAACACCTCCCCTCAGATTTACAAAGCCACGGCTGTCCTGACAAGGCACATTGTGTCGCATGTTCGTCGGTGTGTAGTAGTCTGTATTAGCCCACATACCTAGTAGGTTGGAGGCCATGGCTATTAGGGCGATTGTTTCATTGCTTGCAGGATTCCCACGCCTTTGGAGCTGCCGGACAGACCATCAGGACTCACAAAAGGGTCTTGCCTGGCGCAGGAAACAAGGCAAGTTTTGCCTGCTTCAGGAAACACAGGCCGATTCTAGGAGTTCATTCGTTTGGATCCGTTTGGACTGCCTCTGGATCAACTTCGTGCACTCAAATGATAATGTCCAATCTGCGAGCTTGAATTCGCTCCTCTGCCATCATTTCGGCCGTTCTCATCTCCTCTTCTGCTATTGCTTCTTCAGTCATTCGAGGGATCTGGAATTTAGACTGGGACTTAGCCAGCTTAGCTTTGGCTGCTTCCAATTTAGCTTCACCTGTGGGTGGTGCAACTGGAGCATCTGGAGTTGGTGGAGCAGAGATGTCTACAGCAGGAGCTGAATATTTTGACTGAGCCTTTTTCAATTTCTCTTTGGCGGCGTTGAGCTTGGTATCAGCTGAGGGTGGTGCAACAGGAGGAGCTGGAGGAGGGGGCAAAGGATCAACCGACGGCTGATTGTTCAGCCTTGTTTCAGTTGCTGCAAGCTTTTTCTGGGCCTCCTTCACTTTAGCATCATATGCTGCCGGTGAAATGGGTGATGGCCGAGCCTGTGGAGTGGCAGGCACATCAGAATCGAGGGGTGTGGTAGCCTGGGCAGCTTGGGCTTGTGCCAACTTGTCCTCAGCTGTCTTGAGTTTGGCAATCGCAGCTTGGAGTTTAGGATTGTCTTTGTGTAGTTGGGGTGGTGGTTCTGGTGCCTGGGTCACAACTGGAATGGTTGGAAGTTCTGGTGCTGCGTGCTGGTCAAGTTTGGCCTGTGCTGCCTCCATCTTTGCCTTCACAGCTTTGAGTTGTGGAGAATCTGCTGTGAGTTTGGGTGGGGCAAGTACAGTAGAGCTGGACGCTGTCCCTTCTGCAGGTTTGGCAAAGTACTTTTGCTCCGCTTCTTCCAGTTTCTTCTGGGCTTTAGCCAGTTTTGGGCTCACTGGCACTTCCAATCCTGAGGACTGTTTTTGAACTGTTGGCTTGTTGCCCGCTGTGTTGAAATCCGCGAGTGTCTGATCAACAACACCTTGAAGCACAGAGGGATCTGCAGCTTTGCTCAGAAGAGTTCCGGCTTCTGCACTGTTCATTCCCTGAAGGTTTGATGCTGCCTCAGTCTGATTTGCAATGTTTGCCTGTGCTGTTTTGATTGCCTTTTGAGCTACTTCCAGCTGTTGGCTCTTGGGAACCTCTGCACTTTCTGCTGCTGCCACTTCAGCTACGGCTGTCACTTCCGACATCTTCTCTTGAAGCGTAGAGTGGACTCTTGCCGTTGCCCTGTCCTTCTTTCCATTGCTGGACTTGGCCTGCTTCGTCGTCTGCTTCTTCGACTTCCCTGCCTTATGATGATTTCCTGCCTTTCCTCCACCGCCCAACTTTGGCTTCTGCTTCTTTTCAGTCTTAGCCTGGGCATCCTGCTCTTTTGCCTTCTGCTTCGCCAGCATGGTGTCAAAATTGGTGATGTTCAATGTTTGCATTTTTTTCACTCCAGAACCGATTCTTGAACACATATAGAACACCTGTTTCAGGAGTGGGTTCGCATTTGTTCATCATTTCTAGCAATCCAAGCTTCGTCATACCATCGAAATTGTATTCTGTCGTCTTCCCAAGAGGAATCTTGATTCCTTTGATCAGCTCAACGAAGGTATTTTTTTGTTGCTTGAAAGTCATATTTGCCAAGTTCACCATGTTCATTCCTTCATAGCAGGGGCCCAGTGCTCCCTCACCAGCATACTCAAGATCTCCAAAGTGCCGATTGAGGATCTGAAGCACCAAACTGTAGCCGACCTTTAGCCCTTTGGTTGCACCAGCCACATCTACCGAGCAAACATCACTTGGCACACACATGGCGGAGTAGCTGTAGTCCTTCCAATTCTTATCGGCAAAGCTGTAGAAGTAACTGCATGTTGGGTCACCCTCCTTCATGAGAGCTCCCAGGCCCGGATCAGAACACTTCCCATCCCCTATGAACTCTTTTCTAATCTTCTTCTCGATGTCACCGGTAAACTGATTGGTGTTTACCTGTGCAGCCACCTGTGCAGCCAAGGGTGCTGCAGAACCACAGCACTCCATCAGTTGCTTCAAATCGCCAAGATACGGGTTCAAGGTCTGCAACAAGACCGTGTAGAGTCCAACCTTCAAAGGATGGCACAGGGGTGCCAGGGCTAGCTGAACACGCACAACTAGCAAAGCATTTTTGAAAGATCGTAAGCAAAATAGAAAACTTAATATATATATATATATTATGAAATTTCAAGGACTCGTAAAATGACATAATAAAATCTGTTCGGGCCAGTGTACGCCAGGATTTGGGGTGTGTAGGGGGGGATGCGCGGGTGGGCGGACGGGTGTGCGGACGGGTGTACGGGTACATCCGTACATTCGCGCGTCCGTCCGTACACCCGTGCGTACAAAAAAATAGATCCTATTTTTGCAAAATAGATCTTATTTTGAAAAATAGGATCTATTTTGGTATGTACGTGCAGTTGCACGGGCGTACGTACACCCATCCGCGCACCCGTCCGTACACCCGTCCACGTACCCGCGCACCCGTCCGCACATTTGTCCGTACACCTGTCCGTACACCCGTCCATCCACCCGTACACCTGTCCGCATGTTTGCACGCACGGCGCAAATTCACACGTTCATATCACACGCTCGCCCGTGCGCGCAAAACGTCCCATCCAAGACAAATACACCATTGTACGACTCCTTCAATTTTCATAATATATATATATATGCCTTTTCTTCACAGGCCAACACATGTTCAACTGTTCACGGAAACATTAAACAAACTATTTGGTGCAACCAGGCCTTCCCTCCCTTCGTCAGGTCCCCTGCACCCTTCACCACATCCCCTGACACCGCTGTCGCTGAGCGGATATAAGCAGTAGCAGGTGTCAGAAGTGTGAGCAGCGTGGCTGCTGCTAGAGACCGTGTCATGGCACCACGAGAGCAGTGCAAGCAAGAGTTCCCTGCTCCCTCGGGCTGAATTAGAGGTGAGTGGAAAGCGAGCGGAATCATTCATGTGGCAAGGTCTTGCAAGAAATACAAGTGTTGCTGGACAATGTGTGCAAGCTCCTAGCATGACACAGCTCAGAACATGTGCAACAGCAAAGGGCGGGGAACGCTGCTGTCACACAAACCTCAGTCAAGAGCGCCATGACGAAGAAAGGATTGCAAAAGAGTGAGGAAAGCATTGCACACACATGATGAATACAATTGTAAATTCAACTTTTTCGTAGCCTGCATTCACTGGGCACAGCACATCTGGTTTGAGTGACTCTAACTCTTCCAGAAAACCTGGATCCTGCATTTGTCTGTATTCAATATTCTGATGTGGCTCGGTGGTTGTCAAAACCTACTTAAGAGTGCATCCCCCTGGAAATTCCTCCAGAGACCCATCCTGTTGCAAATGGACAAATGGAACGCAATCTTGTTTCTCCACTCGTGTCCTTGGCTGAGGGAGGTGTCAGCACGCAAGGAACCTTAGCAACGGCAGACTCGTGCGGAAACTGTTCTTATGACTAGTCAGTCGTTACCCCGAGCTTTCTATTTAGTCGCCAGCCTGGCCAGCCTCGAGTATTTTTCTTTAAGGTCGCAATATACATTTTGTACATCACAGTTGAAATGTGCAGGGAGCAACTCAAACTTTCACAAGTTACGCTTCTGGCTGGCCTATTTTGCTCATGTAGTCTTTATTTGTTCTGGAGCTCATCACTGCAATTGGCTAATTTGTGGTACCAGTATATTTGGTCCATGGCCCAATCGTAAGGTTTGATTTTTTTTTATTTTTCGCACATCTACCTCTGTCTTGGCTTAGGAAAAACTACTGGGATCCAAGCACCTAGCTTCTCTGCCAGATCGTGCACCGCTGTCTTACTGACTGCCTGCCAAAGCGAGAAAGAATAGTCAAAAGAAAAACATTTTTTTCTGGACTATACAAACGGTCTTTTCAAACATATTTTTTCCCCTGTCACATTCAGAATTCAGCATCGAAGATCTCGCATGGCCTTTCCGTTAGCAAAGTATGTAAAAATGATCGCAACAGCATGTGTCAACAATCGCACCGTTCTGTGAGGTGCCTTCTTGACTCGCTTGGGAGGCCTTGAGACCACAGCGCAGACCTCTGCATTTTGTCATGAAATGTGTGTTTTCTCTTTTGTAGCTCTATTTCAGCATGGAACATCTGATAACACAAACGCTTGCGACAAATCGCCATCCTTTTTATGAAGAAAAACAACACATTATATAAGCCAAAATAATTAAACCTAATGGTATTCATGGTATTATGTATTCTTCTTTGCTATTTATTTGCTTCCCATTACCGCGCCTCGAAGTCATGCCCTTGTGACTCTACAAGACGCTGTAGAACGACCTCTACACAACTTGGTGATCCCAGAAAAACCACTCGGCCAGGATGGTCACCGTCACCTGCACGCCAGCAGACTATTGGCGATAATTGGCATCGGAATCATTCAGTACAATTAGTCTACTGTATATAATATATATAATATATAATTCTATATATAACGACGGCCCGGAACTTAGAAGGTAGCATTTTCGGCACTTCAAAACAGTAGATAAATTTAGAAGGGGGGGGTCCTGCTGCGCACCTTCTAAGTTTATGGGCTGTTTTGAATTACCATGCATATACCGCTATATGGCACCTTCGCTATATTTTTTTTTTTTGGCTCGACTTTTTCCAGTGCTATGAGGTGCTAGGTGTTGAAAAAGGCACGGAGATCTCTTGCTCCAGCCATGACGCAACGCTTGGTGAGCTTGTCCGACAAATGGATGCCGTCCTCGGTGGCCTTGGCCCTTCCGCCGCATCTGGTGCACGTGATCTGGCTGCCTTGCCTCATGGCCACGTGTGACGGATGTCCCGTCCACTCACTGCTCGCCATCAGACCAACATGGCATGGGCTTCCAACGAAGGAGGCAAAAGCGTCCTCTCGGCATCTAGCCAAAATGTAGGCTTTGCATTCGGAGCACCGCAGGTACGCTTTGTCCAAGCGTAAGTTGTGGACTCCTGGTTGTACCCCTTGCTGGGCATTGATGAGATCGTTGATGATCTCGAATCTGGTCTTCTTGGAAGGTGCTGCGGAGACTGCCTGCTCACAATCTGAGGTCAACGCCGGCCTCAGTTCGGTCATGAGGTGTTGGTGTGGAGGCGATGGCGGCAATGCTGACAGCGGACTCCAGACCTGTAGGGTTGCCACTGGTGCCCTCCTTGATCAGGGACAGCCAGTAACTGATCCAAGATCATCTTCTTCTGCTGGATCATGGCGACTTTGGTCTCCCGCTGGAGTGCAGGGCCCTGATGCAGGAAGTGGGACCTGTCTTTCATCAGGATGTCCATGCGTGCTCCTGCAATGTGTAAGACATCACGGGTGTCTTCATCGATGTGCCGCTGCAAGTCCAAGATCTCTTCATTCCTGGAGGCATGAGCAAAGGCCTTGGCCAGCCTGTCCGCATCATCTTGGAAGGCTTTCCTGGTCTCATTGGAGTCAACCTCGCTCTTGGCAAAGAGAAGAGGCCGGACTTGGTCAAAGTCTTCAAAGTCCAGTCCCTGGTAGAGATCAGGGAAGGCTTCATAGGCTCTAGTGGGGCTCCAGGCCCGCCAAACTGCATGCACATTGATGCCAATGTTGACCTTGTCCTTGACATGAAGCGCCAGGTGTTTCAAACCATAGAAGACAGCTCTGGCCTTGGTGGCCTTGCCTGGGACAATGCCTTTGAGCGCTGCTTTCCGCTGCTTGGAGAAGACATGATACAAGGCAATCGCAAACACGAACCGCTTGTGCCTGACTTCTTTGCAAGTCTGGGCCACCGCCAGTGTGAGTGCGTGACCAGGCGGCACATCAAAGGTGTCATTCGGCGTCCAAATGCCTTCAGTGACAAAGGTACCCATGCCCCCTTCTTGGATGTAGAAGATGGATTGAACCATGCCCCGCTGCCAGAGTTCCGGTTCAGTCCCCGCCTCCAGACGTTGCTTCCACTGAGCCGGCAAGTCCTTGACCTTACCGTGCCAGAACTTGCACTCCCACAAGAGATGCTTGAAGGTGAGGTCGACTCCGCGTAGAGGGCAAGTGCCTGAGACCCCATGATAGGTGCCCTGACGCAAGGCTCGTAAAGCCGGGCCCAACTTGTCATCCGTGTATTTTTGGATGACGTGGGAGATCTGCCAATCCAACTGCCTTTCCAAATCGTGGCAGCCTTCATAGCGGGTCAGACGCAGCAGGCGTTGCCACCGAAATTCCTCTTGCAGCTTGTGGTTCAGGAGTGGCCAACTCTCAGCCAATGACAGCTCACAGTCCGGAATCCCCCCATAGCCGGTGCGCTTCCAAGCCTTGGCATTCGAGAGATCGAAATCATAGTCAAGGAGGTAGGCCTGGAGAGCCTGCAATGGCCCATGAACCACCTGCCAACGGTATTTCGCTTTCTGGAGTGCACATGCCAGCTGGTCCAGAACAAGTGTTGAGTGCAAGGTCGGATCCGAGTCCTTCAATGCTGATCCAAAAGGGTCCATCAGCCTCAGGGAAGCTCGTCCATGGGTGAGGCAACTGAAAAGTGCGCCCAATGGGAGGAAAGCGCTGTAGTTGTTGAAACGCCAGGGCCGGTTGCCAGCAGTCAAAGGAAACCTCCAAAGCACAGTGCGGTTTCCAGGGCACTTCCCAGACTGCTTTGACCTGAAACCAGACTGACAATGCGGTAAACAGCCTGGCGTATGTGGTTGCCATCCTCGGAGAAGGGAATGTTGATTTCCGTGAGGAGGTCCAGCTCACGGTTGTGTTTGGTCCACATGCCGTCGAGGAGCTGAAAACGTTGGAGTTGAAGGACCAAAGCATCAGGGGCCCCATACAGGTACTGTCCTCCTTCCTCATTGTTGATGAGCTCATCCAAGGTGACAGGATGGTCTCCGGCCGGAAAGAGGATGTTCAGGGGCATCTGCTCTCGTTCTTCCAGATGGCCCGAAAGTGTCCAGTGGAAGAATTTGCTGCCATAGAAGTTGGTGTTGGCATACTCCCACAAATAACCCAGGAAATCGGAGGCGTCAGCCTGGCTCCCTTGGTCAAAGTGGGCCCAGACCTGGTCCATGTGCTTGAGCATAGGCAGCCACTGGGGATCTGGACTCGAAAGGAACTGTCTAGCAGCTTCTTGTGTCTGACCCCAGGCCAGATAGGCGTCTTCCGCAAAGGCCGCCGCCCAGCACCAGCTTCTAAAAGGAGCATTACCGAAGCAGAGGTTGAAACCATCTGGATTGCGCAAGATGGAGGTGAGCACCTGAGAGATGATGAACACATTCGCCATGGGCCATCTGGTGTCTTGTGGCAGACTCATTCATGCGCTTGTGGACGATGTTCTGCATCCTTCTGAGATCCGCCAAAACTTGTTGCCCATGATGCGGATCAGCTGAGCTGCGGTATCTCTGCACAGTCGGTGCCTCCCTGGGAGTGTCCCACTGGCTGGAAGAAGATGTAGGTGCGCTCCCTCCACAAATCTTCAAAGGAGGTTTGCGCCTTTGAGGCCCATAGCTCCCTGATCCCCTTGGCGAGCTAGGTCTTGAGCCTGAATGAAACGTCAAAGAAACAAGGTTGTGATGCTGCCCACAATCACAATCTGAAGTGTGTCCCCACGCATGCAATGAAGTGCATGACTGAATCCCCAAAGCTGCAAGTGAAGGTGTCACTGCGGGGTTACCCGCACGACATGTCCCCCGGGGCCTCGGTCTTACGCCTCTTGGATTCATCGCTTGACTCTGTGGGCGGCCTTTTCGGTGAGGCTGACACCTAAGGTGTTGATGAAGCCTGCAACCGCATCAGGAACTGGATCAGCTCCTCCTGTTTCGGGGAGGTCACCTAGGTCCGGCTTGGCCGCGTTCACCAACGACATGTAGGAGGCGCTTGTGGCCGTCAGAGTCTGCTGTTCTGCCTCGATGCGGGTTTGGATGCCCTTCATCTCATCAAGCAGGTCCTGGTATGCTTTCTTGGTGGAGTCAATGCGTCCCTGCAAGGTAGACT